CTCGTCGTCGAAGCACATGATCCGTAAAATTGTTAATGCTTTCTTCGTATCATATTTGCTCGACGAGTAAAAATCCTCGTTTAACGAAAGTCGATCATTTTCCGTAACGGAGAACGCGTGCTCGTAGGATCCAGGATTGTGTTATATATGTATATATACGAGATCGATCGAATTTAATACGATTTTCCATCTTTTACGAATCGTTATAAAACTTACTCGGCTGCAACGAAATGGATAAATCGACGATTTCGACGATGTCGTCTCGTTTCAACCGCGATATCATCGGCAACATTTGTAAATGGAAGTTGTAAATGTTGTTCGCAATCCGAGTATAATCTTACGTAACGGAATCGCAGCGATTGGTCGGGAAGGAATTAAAGGAGTTCGCGACTGTAAACAGCCGATTGGTGGATCGTTGTCCACCACCGCCGATCTATGAAAAAAGGAAAAGAAAAAAAGGAAAAAAAAAAAGAAAAAATCGCAACGGATCTAGAAGTCACAGTTATGGCGACTAGGTGATCCATGGCTCTGTTTCTCTCATTAGAGAACTGGACGTAGAAGGTAATTGATACTTTCATAAACTGGCAGCATTCCCACCTGCGAATAGCACGAGTTTTTGCCGCGGCCTCGTTAGAGGTGACAATAAGTAGTTACTTACTCGTTTCCAAGTAGCTCTCTGCCTGCCTCCTCTCTACATTTCCCTAAAAAAAATTATTAAACCGATTTATATCGCCCCTCTATCCTTTCGCATACTCTCTTGCACACGCATCTTGGAAACAGACACGCGTATAATTAATCGATCTGTTTCAGTTATACGCGTAAAACCGGTAACCGATAAGTCGCCGCGCGATTAAACGGGTCTCGAACAGGAATAAAATAATCTTCGATCCACGAGCGGACAATTAATAACGGTGAGAGATATATATTTCGATCGATTAATATACGAGTGTGGGCTCGATAATCCAACCTTTTTTATCCAATCTATGAGTAAGAACGACGACGATCAGGGATACAGTTACGCTTCGTATTGATTGCACTCGGGATTAACAACGATTCTCCCGTATCCTGTCCAATTATGTAAACTGCATACTATATCCATCTATATACGAGTATATATATATATATATATATATATGCGCATATTTATACATATATATTTATATACGGCGGAGTTTACAAATTAGGTAGTGGTTACGAGACGGCTGTACACGAGCGTCGGCTGTACACTAATCACGGTGATTGCAGGGGAGTGGAAATCGTCGGTGGGATAATATTCCGCGTAATTGGTTCAGCCCCTGTCAACCTGTCTACCTACCGGACGATGTCTTAACCTGACATCGTCCGTACGACACGTAAACGTGCGGGATGTACTACACATTTTCGCAAGGTATCACCTGGCATGCTCTGTTCGTGGAATCCATTACGTACGTACCGATCCACTCCTCTATCTCATACACGATTCCGTATTTCTGCATTTCCCTTCCGTTTCGCGTGAAGGGAAAACAAGCGAAAGATCATAATTAAAGCGAATCGATATATATATACACACGGAAAAGTTTGTTTTAAATGGGAACGTTTTTACCGAGAGAACGAATTTTGCGGAAGGTGTTAACTCAACGTTTTCCCGGAACGTCTGCAAGGATAAATAAATAGTTGAAATAGGGGGAAAACCGCTTTATATCGGTTGGTCATTAAGTAAGCAACGCGCGCTTCGTCGTATACACTTTTACGATAGATTAAGGAGTGGAAATGGAAAGAAAATTTGAAAATTTCGAGATTGAAAAGATATGATAATACGAATCATCGTAATTAGAATATTCGTGTTTCAATTGGCCACACGTATAAACGCGAATCGCGCGTATCGCGATTCTTTGCAAAGGCGTCCAGTTCGTTGTTCGCGGGATTCTTTCTCGGCGCGCAAGAAATTTCCAGGAAGGTGGATCCGCGCACCTGTCGAGAACGCTCCACAATGGAACGCTCCCATCTCTCGGTTGCGTTCCATCCACTTCTCTCGCTGCTCTCATCGCCTTCCGTGGCGATCCACGTTCCCACGGGAGTCACGAAAACGCTCTCTAACGCCCCTGCGGATTTGCCTACGAGGATGAAACTTTCTTCCACATATTAATAAGTTATAGGGGGCCGATCGGTGTTTCTTCTAAGAAGGTAGACCCGAGCGGGGCAACAATGGCCGAATTCGCCACGGGGGACCAGGTCTCGGAGGATAGACTTTGACAACGCGATCGCCAGCGTTCCGTATTATATGTCTATGCCTCTGGACCGCAGATCAGATAAGAGGGATGCGTTTGAGAAACCGACCGACCGACCGTTCTCGACCGATTTCGCCGTGCTCTAGCTTCGCACGTATTTTCTCTGTCTTTTTTACCGCGCCGACTCGTCGTGCTCGACCACCACCGCACACCATCGTCGCGACGCGTGAAAATGGGCGAGAAAGGAAGATGGAGAGGAGTAGAAAAGGATTTGAAAATTCTGGAACGAAAGATCGGGAAGAAAAGGGTCGGGATCTGAAATCGACTTTGCAAAGGTATCGGTCTCGAAATCGAACACCCATTGTTTTCTCGCTCTTTCGCTTTCGAGGCGGTTTTACTTCCGAGAAGTTTCTCGCACCGTTTTAACACCTTTCTCCGAAAGAAAGATGCACGCGACGATTCGCCCGTTGCCGTAAATCACCGAAAACGAGAAAGTGGTCGCGAGATAAAACCTAAATCGGAGTTTCGTTCGATAAATAATCGTGGCTCGATCGATTCGATCGTTTAATCGAAGGTGTAAAGATTTCGAGAAACATGACCGAGACGAGGGCAGGGTTATAATATATATATATATTGGTTTTTGCGCGGATTCCCCCGAATAAAACTCGTTTAGACGAGGATTGGACGCGTGCAACGCGTTCGCAACGCGAGAAATGGATCGACTCGCAAAAGTATCGGGCAAACGAAATGATTTAATTAACTTTCCAACCGGTCTCGATTCGGCCGGATTACCAGCGGGAGACTTTGTGGCCGAAAGTCCTTGGCCAACGGGCCGTTCGAGAAAGGTTTTCTGGCCCCGCGACGACAGAAACCTCGATGTTACCAATAATTTGCGAGATGTCGGTCGTCGCGCATGCGACTCCAACAACCGGAGTAACCACGATTTCACATTCTCGAGATTTATTCTTCTCGCGGGAAACACGCAAAGTTCAGTGACGCTTGCGTCACCAGCCTCCGCTTCCAAGTGCCGCTCTTAATGTCTCCTTGCTCCGATTTTTGAGCGTAAATAACTACTTGCTTGGCTAGAAACCATTCGAAATGGCAGTAGTAAAATATTCCGGCTTGTGGAATGTCTGTGATTTATAGCGGTACGAGTAATAATTATCGCGTACGTGGATGCAATAAGCGAGCGGTGATATCGACGTTATTCATCGGGTATTTTATTTTAATTTAAGGATCGGGTAGTTTCTCATCGTTTTCTTCTTTTCTTTTTCTTTCTTTTTTTTTTTTTTCCATCACGAAAAATCCCTCCCTACGATTTTCCAAATTCGAAATTTATTACCTTCGAAAATATCTATGGATTATATCGCGCGTACAATTGGCGCGTCGCTTAAATAATGATGTAACACCCACGATAAAAATTGTCGTATCAGAAGAGACGCTCGCTTCGAAAACGTGATTCATCGGGATTAAAAGACGAAAATTTTTACCATCTTACCGTCCCATGTTACACCTTTGTTCGTGATTCTATCTGATCTTGATTAATCCCTATTTAATCGTGTCAGAATAATCATGCGCAATAAACGACGCGTCTTATTATTTTTATAATAAATTCACATGTTGTGAATTTCCTCGATAACTCGACGCGTATCGGAGTCGAGCGCTTTTTCCTTCTACTTCTAGTTCCTTCTTCCATACTCTTTTTGTTCCTAAACGGGTAATAAATAAGAAGTTGTCGAAATGAAATACCACTTTCAAACAAGTATGCAAAGTAGAGAAAAAAAAATCAAGTACCATTTATAACAAGTCGTCACTTTTATTATACCATTTATCATATCGCATAATCGGAAACTATACAATTTTATCTGTAACGTGTCTTTAACAATTAGTGGATACCTTCGTAAGTCTGTTATTTTCTTTTTTTCAACAGTTTTGAACAAACGTTACACTTCAAACGTTCGAGTTAATCATACTCTTATCTTTCCTTCGATGTGCAATTTGAAAAAAATTCTTTTAACAAAAAAAAAGAAAAGAAAAAAAAAGAAAAAAAAGAAGACGAAAGATGGACTCGAAGCGTTCGAAAAAGAAAAATTTTTCTCAAAAGCGAATTCTCGAAACGGAAACGCGTTTCGATCGTTTCGATATGAATTTTGTCTCTTTCTTGAATAAATAATGTGACGGAACAAGTATTGCTGATAAGATTAAGATTATTATTTTTATTTACAACTTATATCATACACGTAAATCTCTGAATATGCGATAATTGAATTTCCGTTATCACGATATAGTTTATTCTAATATCGAAAATCGAACGAATATTCGCTTCGAGCCACGGATATATAACGGAGACTATTGAGAAACTCGACTCAATGTCGAGAAACTCTTAATTAGAAGTGCAAAATGTTTCTGTGCGACCGATTTTTCGGAAAAAAAAGAAAAAAGAAAAAAATGCGTTGTATATAGCAGATATATCGTTATTTTTTTAACCAAAATTCTGATCACGAACGTACAGAGTGTACAGAAGAATTTTTTCAACCAACGTTGAATTATCAAAAGTGCAACGGTCGACATTCATCGACAGCGAGAGTTGTGCGATGCAACGCGTTCTTCTTTTTAGAAAAAAAAGAAATCAAAGGTTGGGTAAAAAGTTGCAATAGGTAAGAATGCGAGATGAATCACGTCGGAAATAAAATCATAAGAGGAATGATGTCAGAGTATCGTAGAGCGATAATGAACGAAATTGTTGGCGATATCTAGCGCGATCGATAGGTCGAGTCGACGGTCTGAAAGGTGGCGATCGGCACTACTATTTCCAAGAAAAAGCCGGCGTCAAGACTTAATCTTATTAGAACGCGTGCAAGTCACCGCAAGGGGATCTTATTGGCCGAGAGGAGAAGACGGCGAAGACGCCCACAACGTGCACGCTTATATAGTACTCTGCGGTGTTCATTCATAGTTCCACTCCAGTCTAGTCATTCATTAATCCGATACGGCGAGAGTGTCCTTACAGAGCGTGCGCTGATCACGACTCTCGATCGTTCGAGTGACCCCCTTCGAGTTCGCACGCCCGTGCCTATATCCGTGTGTGTGTGTGTGTGTGTGGGTGTGACACGTCCTACGATATACTCGTGAAATCGAGAAGTACCTCGAAGCAGGCAGCTCGTCGACAAGGTGGATCAAACATCGAACACGGAGAATGCGAATAGGTGAGAATGACTCACGATCAGACTCGATTTCATACGAACGTTCTAGGAAACGTTCGAGGAGGAGAGCCTCAGCCGGCGAGCAACACGCGCGGCTACGTTTAAAATAGCCGATGCCGAGGAATAATCGATCAGCCTCGTGCGTTACCTTCTTCACTTTTTGTTTATCTATTTATTCCTCCCCTCCCTCTTCTCAAATAATTTTCGTTAATAAAAATACTTTCGAGAGAATTATTTCTCGAATCGCGTGGTTCCGGCTAGTGAAAGTAATATATCCATATACTCTCCGTCACGAGTACGACGAGAATAATTATCGAGAATTTTACACGAGGATCGAATAGATTTACGCTCTAATGGATACGTACGATATATGCAGATATTCGTAGATTGTTAAAACATCGCGTCACGAGACGATTGATTAAAGAAGATATTCCAGTTCAAGGCATGCAAGTTTCATCGATTTTAACGCGTGGTAAACGTGTGGACGGCTATTTTTACTTTCTCTCGTCGTAGACATCAATTTCCCGCGTCATAATCGTCGGTGTACGTGCGCGCAACAAGCGTTTTGAAACGGGTACGCGCGCGTTTCGCCGTGGAATCGGACGAGGCGAGAGGATCCTTTTTATCGTCGATCGATGCTCTTTCGGGGCAGGTGGTTGATCCTCGTCTCGAAAGTTAACGGAACTAATGGATTTCAAGCTTCTGCTCGCATCGAGGAGGCGCAAAGTCGCCTGAAGCAAATCGCTCGTGCCACGGCTACTCGAAAGGGGATTCAAAACGCCATTCGCGATGCTCGGCCAAACACGCGCACTGTCCTTCTTTTGTCCTTCTTTTATCGTTTACCACTCGATTCGCTCGAAACCGAACGAAAGAAGTGGCGCTTCTTTTACGATCGTTTTTCTATCGCGACCGTCCAGCGATCTCTCCGACTTCCACACTCTATTCCCACCAGCTCGATTTACACCGGTTACTCGATTTAATCCCTTTTCCACGATTACGCTTCCTTTTATTCCTTTATTTATTTCTTTTTTTTTTTTCACTTGTCTTTTAACATCGTTTTTTTCATCATCAAATTTTTGCCGCGTTTTTCTCTTTTTAATTACGATTGCACTATTTGCCTTTGCGTTGCAAATAAATCGGCAATAATGGATAAAAGATAAACATCGTTTTTTATTACAAAGGATAAATATTCAATCACCCGCCGAACAAAACTAATATATATATATATATACACGCGTTAGAGATAGTTATCAAACGTGAATCATTCGGCGTCTACTGATTGCTACTTGTCGTAGCTTGTAGTAACTTTATCTTGAAGCAAGTTAACGCGAACAATGACAATGTCAAAACTATTTATGATTACACGCTATATATAGCCGTTATACATATTCCGAAACAAATTACTTAAAAATAATTCCACGACGATTTTATATTCTTATCTGAAATTAAATAAATTGTAATAAATAAAAATTGAACAAAAGATAAAATGATATATCGATTTTCGCTTCTCACTCGAGCGAACGAGTGTGACAATACATTTTGGCAAAATATCTGGCAGATATGATACGATATAATTCGAAGAGAAAAGGAAAGATCGGTAAGGATCGTAATGGTTGCTGGATTTGCTTTCTCGGATGGAGTTGACGAAAGAATGGGCGAAGAAACGTGTCCGAGGCAAAAGGAGAAATAAGTGGTGCAACGGTGCCACGTATTTCCGTTCTAATGACTAGCAAAAACTTGACACCTGCATCGACACCGGTGTCGGAAACAACGACCGAGAAATCGACCGATTTCAGGAGTTAGCCTTGCGTAACGAGAGAATTTTCCATTTTTCCGAACCAACTGCGTCGATTGTATTCGAAAGAAGAAGAAGAAGAAGAAGAAGAGTGTGCGTTTTACACCGCGTTATATAACGGAAAAACGTGTGAAAAACTCAGGGAAATCCCTTCTACACAGATGCGCGCGCGCGCTTACGTCTTCACGGTTTCGATTCTTATCGAGAGACACCAGTCTCGGACAATGTCAATGCAACTCGACACAACGGAATATAACGTTTAAATAAAGCAACGTTACGTACGAGTATACTTACGTACGAGTCACGCATATATTACACAAACTGGTATAACATTATCAATCATTCCAACTTGTGTGAATAAGCATGACACGGAAGAATAAATAGACACATTGTCGGTAAAAAAAATTTCACAAAGTAAATATCGTTACCTCGCTTTCACTTTTCCATTACCTCTCGTATTCGTGCAATCTTATTTCAATAATAATTTAAGCTGGTCGAAAAAGATTCGATACCAACTTTTCGCCATCGTCCGATCCAAGGTAATGGCGCTTCGATTCGGATCGCGTCGCTGAAAGATCTTGGAGTCGAAGACTATTCGCTCGACTATCGGTCAATTAACGCGACGCGACGCCGCATAATTGGCATAAGGGTAATTCGATCCTCTCGTGTGGATGAATCCTTGCGAGAGAGGAGGTTACGCGTCTCGAGGGCGTCAAGAGAGCGCGCGCATCGTTAAATTAAAATCCCGAGGCGAGCGGGGGACCCGGATGGTCTGGGCCCACCTCGGCGGTGCCTTCTAATTTGCAGCGCATAATATTCGAATAATTTGCACGCGCTAATAGGAACGAGAGAACGCGGGGAGGGAGGCGGCCGACGCATATAGGGAACACCTTCCACGGATCTTCTCGAGACGAGAAAGAAGCGATGCAAATGCTTCTTCATCGCCGGAATCATGGGATACGGATAATATTGGCATCGTATCGTACGATGAGTCGTCCACTGAAAGTACAATCACTCGATCGAAGTATGCGACGCGATCGCATCTAATCGCAGACATAATATCTTATCAGTGACGTATCCGACGCATACGCGAATATAATAAAAGTATCGAATGCGCTCATCGTGCGGTGTATTCGTTATCTAGCGAATAATAATAATAATAATAATAATAATAATTGTTTGCAAACTTGCCAACTATCTACACTTTGCTCGCCACTCGATCGAAAAAAGTGTCGAAATTGTTTCGTGTATTAATTATCGCGTGTCGTTTCTTTTTTCTCTTTCTTTCTTTCTTTTTTTTTTCTTTTTGTTTGGCTTTTAAATATTTTATTCGATCGAAAAATTTAAGAAGAAAAGGAAAAGAAAATTTTAAGAATAAATCTTTACTTCTTCTTTTTTATATTAAGGTATATCTGTGACGTTTCAAAATGTTTCAATCGATCGAGATCCTCGTTCGTATTGAATTCGATCGATAAATTTAAAAAAAAAGAAACGAAAAGAGAAAGAGTTTTTAATTCGACGATATTCGACGAAATTCGATCAAAGGTTAAGAAGCGTAAATTCTGTCGATTGATTCTTCGTATATCTTTGCTAATTATTAACGCATTTTTCGCGTTTCGTCGATCGTAAAATCAGATATTTTAATTCTTATTTTTATCGAGATCACGAGGCCGACGATACTATTATACCCACGGATAGATGGCGAAATCGAAACGAATTTATCGTTTCTCGTCTTACTATCTTCCTTCCTAATCCTCGAAGATTCTCGTTTATTTTATTATTTCGCGAGTAACTTTGAAATTAATCGTTCGTATTTATCGCGGACAAAATCGAAATGAGAAATACGAGAGAAGGAGAAGCGTTAACGCGACGAGAATGGAATTAAAAAAAAATTTTTATCGGGACGTCACGATCCGCGCTCGACGTCACTCTGCGCCGAGAATCTGCGTATCGCACGCGTCGCTTATCGAGGAGAGCACGATGCCGTCGAACGTACAAATATATTCGGCAATAACCGATTCATCGATGGTCGATAAAGTAAAAGGAAAAAAAAAAAAAGAAAAAGAAAAAGAAAAGAAAAAGGAAAGGGAATCTAAATTTTTGGATAATAATGATTAATAATCGAGTGGGGGGTTAAAGGCTAAATAGGCTGAATAGGAAATACGTGGAATACACGGTATCCCCCACGCGCGAGGAACGGCGTAGATATCGGGGGCGAGGGTGGCGTGCAGGGTTGGGTGGGGAGGGGACCGAAAGGTAGCCGGAGGAGCAGAAGGAAAGCAGCTGGAGAGAGAAAGAGAGGAGGTGGGGTGTCGTAGGAGGTGGTGGCAGAGAACAGGAGGGAAAGAGGTGGGACCTTCGCGTGTGGAAGAGCGAGAGGACGAGGTGAGTAGCGGCGAGTCCGTGAGCCCGAGTGAGTAACTGGGAGTCGCGCAACTGAGGACCCACTCAGTCACCACGAGATCGGCAAGCCGAATGGTCAACCGCGCCGGTTCTCCCGCACGGAACTCTGCGCACAGCTGAAGGGAGACAATCGAACCGACACGTTCGACTTCGAATGTCAACTAGCGCGTCCCTTGCTCGAACCGTGCCATTGCCGATCGCGCATCCGACCTGCACCATCCCACGATGCGGAGATTTCTGGTGCGCTGTTATGTCACGTTGACATCGATCTGATCGACGCGTTTCGTCTCCTTCAGTTTCGTTTCGTTCCGTTTCGTTTCGTTTCGTTTCGTTTCGTTCCGTTTCGTTTCGTTTCGTTCCTCTTTCTTCCCTCGATCCCGCAAAAGACAACGTTTCCGCGTCTCGCGTCTATCGGCTGTTTCCCGAACCGAATACTGACTTTTCCCGGGGAAAAGACCGAGCCAAGGTGGGAGCGGAAGTGCGCGAGTGGATGCGAGCAAGAGGTATCGACGGGAGGAGCCGAAGACTCTCCTGCAGAAGGCCGAGGAAGAGATGATCTACGAGCTGCTGGTGGCTGGAGCGTTCGCCCTCGCCACGCTAAGGCGGTGTGTGTACATTGCTAAATTCTATCCACTTTCTCTCTACTCTTACCTACTATTTGCCTATACTCTTCCTCTTTCTATCTTTTCAAACGGTTTTAGAAACGGAGAGTACGCGCGTATATATCGGCGAGAGCCGCGCCGAAACTGGCGAAACTCGCTCGCAAGTGAACAAAAAAAAAAAAAAAAAAGGAAAAAAATCTCGA